AGATGCATCTGTGGATGCACGACAAGGTGCAGTTGGCCTTCCTAGCCGCCTCCCCACATTGCCGACTCATGTTCATCTTGGAGTCAATAATGACTCCCAGATCCTTTTCCACCTCTGTGCTGACAAGGGGAGTTCCCCAGCCTGTATGTGTGGTGCCTATTGTTCCTCCCCAGGTGCAGCACCTTACACTTGTCCGTGTTAAACCCCATCCTGTTGTCCTCCGCCCATCCTTGTAACCTATCTAGGTCTAACTGTAGCCTGTTGCTCCCCTCAGTTGTGCCCACTTCCCCCCACATCTTAGTGTCATCAGCAAACTTGAACAGGGTGCTTTGCACCCCCTCGTCCAAATCACTGATGAATCACATGCTCCAAGAGGTGTGTGTGTACGTGTGTGTGTGTGGGGACGTGCTTTAACTAGCACAATTCTGAGAGCTACGCTAATGAAATCTTTTGGAGAGTCATGTGTATCAGCATCCCATGTTGAAAAATGGTGACAGAGCACTTTGAACTGAAGCTTATCAAACAAGCTTTAGTTTAATGCAGCCCACCACCATTTTTCAGTGCAGGGACACTGATGCACACATTAACTCAGCTGTGAAAATAATTTTCAGTGAAGCACTGGATGCACTGTCAAGATGTTCAAGAAGGCTAAACTGAACAATATAGCCTTGGGCCCCTAGCTTATTACTAAAGCTTTTAGTTTCTTTTAAATGGGATAAAAATATATTGTACACTTATATGTAATAAGCAGGGATCCTAGAAATCCATTTGCCATGGAAAGATGTGGAATTTGCATTTTTCCAGAGAACTTTAGAATCCCCAGAAAAAAAACCTTATTGAAAATAAAATGCTGGCTCCCCGGGGGGAGCCAGTAGTTCACATGGCTGCTGCCAGGGAGAAGCTCCTGGCCCACAGGGAAGCAGCAAAGATGGCAGTCACCCCCTTTCCCTCCACCACTGATTAGCCAAGAGGCCTGACCATCATGCAGCCCTGCCCCTCTCTGCCAAGGGGTGGGGCCACATGAATGGCAGCCCATTGGCCAATCATTGGCAAGGGGCAGGGCTCTTCAGGCAGCCCTCTCAGCCAACCAGCGGCGAGAGGCAGAGCTAATCCTGGGGTTCTTCAGTCAATTAGCTTTGGGAGAGGAGGGGAAGGGGAGGCTCGCTGTGGAAAAATGCGGATTTTAATTATTTTAATTGGAGAATGTTGTTGTTATCATGGAAAAAACTAGGATCCCTGGTGATAAGGCACCACACCATCTGCACTCCCACCTTTCGAAATCCTAGATCTGCCCATGTAAGCTTCTACTGGCTTCCAACACAGAGGTGAAAGGCTCCAACACAATTGCTGTTGTTGCTGTTGTTGTTATTATTGCCAAGTTTTATAATTCTATTCCATTCCAAATTACCTGTATAAATATTAAATTATTTAGCCATCCCAATCCACATGAAATGACTAAGAGACTAATCCAAGGCAACATACTGAGTCACAGCAAACCAGGACAGAGAGTTTCAGTGTTGTTGGCTCTGAACCTTGTGCTCACTCAACTGGTGCCTCAGTGCATAGCCGATCCCATTACATAGTTCATGATCAATCTCCCATGCCATACACTCCCTTCTTTACCGTCTACTGCATGGAAAAGTACTGTGGAATACTATGGGCATTTGTATTACAGTGCAAAATCCCAATGGTACCAAAATAAGAACAAATCTAGAGAGCAGCATGGACAAAGATTGTCAAGCTTCAGTGGTAATGAGATAACAAACAAGTGGGGAAACTAAATGGAAAATGCAAGCATACCTGGTATTTTAGAATGTTAAGTACAGGTTCTTTAATACAGCAGGAAGTACTGCAATTGAAAGATGCCTTCAATTTGGGAACTACAAAGAATTAACTTTCCTTCACCCCAGCAAATTAGAAAATAAGTGTGTGCTAAATTTCACTTGAAAATAAAATAAAATGAAATAATGAAGATCACTGGTTTTTAAGTATCTGCCCTTGAGGCAGCCCAGAGCAAAACAGTTCCCTAAAGCAATCCTACCTTTGTTTTCCAACTTGAGTTCTTCTGCTAGCAAGCTGTCTTGTCTGTTGCCAAGCACAAATGCCAGAAACGAGAGGATCAGGGCATCCAAGATTCCAATAATAGCCAGGATATATGCCCAGCGGACTGAACAAGCCCCAAGTGTGTACTTGTCTGTTTTTTCACCGCACATCCGTTTTACCTCATCCGAATCCCAGCCGTCAGGAAAAATCATACAGCCCAGGACAAGACAGGCAGCTTGGAGACAAAAGAGAGGGAGAACAATGGTTTGATGAAACCAAGCTTCCATTTTTGCTAATATCTACATATTTATTATTAAAACGTGTTAGTCCATCCAGAATATAAAATATAGGTTACTTGCAAAACAAATAGGTCAGATATAATTATAAACTGTGACTATACATTTGATGTAAAATCATAACATCCATCATCAACTTGAAACCTAATAAACTAACATTAAACAATTAAAGTTCTGTGTCTAGATCTCTCATCTGTTTTTTGTGATTGTGCAATCACATTTTCCTGTCATTAAGTACATTTAAAAAAAAAGACTAAGATGAAACAAAAGAGGAAACTGATTAACTAGCTAACTATACAAGGAAAACAAATTGATTATCTACAAAGTCAAATGTCCTGTGGAAACAGTTTGAAAATAAAATAGAGCGAAAACCCTTCTCTTTTTGGTTCTAGTAATCTTGGACAATACTTGTATCATTCAGAAGTTACAACAGTGTGAGTTTTTACATTGTCAGTTTCCTTTTAATTTAAATATGTTTTATGTAAAAGGCATGTATGCCTCAATAATACAACTAATGCCACTGTTCTGTAAGCAAAAATAAGCTGTCAAAATTGCTGCCATGCTCTGATTTAGTTTATCTCAGAAATCAACTCATGACACCTCAAACATGAAAAAACATCAATTCCTAGGAGCAGCTAAAACAATAATTTCTAAGCAGCAGAAAGAATGAGGTTCTTCTGTGGAGTGTAGCTATGCACTAGTTGAGGGTGGGGGAAGCTGAGGGGTGCTGTGTGTTATCAGTTACAAGAAGAACCTGTGCGGGATAACAACCTATGGGGAAAAGAACTGTAATGTATAACACAACTCTGCTGGAAAACCCCCCACTGAAATTCATTTCCAAGCATGAGGAATGAGCCAGTTGGAAGTGTTTGTTGTGTTGTGCAGAAGCTCACGTCCCAGTGCTGATTATCATTTTTTTTTTTTTTTTACATAAGACAAGGTTTTTTCCCCCAATCAGCATGGGGAAAAAAAGCTCTTCATTTAACATTTGTATGCAAGGAAATCTCAGTAAATACATTGCGTATCACAGAATTTCTACTAAAAGCAGGATGTGCTCAGTAATGGAAACCACTGCTACGAAGCTGATTAATTCAGTCAACACTGAGCATGACTGTAAAACGCATGGCCCATATTGGGCAAACATACTAATCAAACCTAGTACTGGGCAATGTTAATCTAGCCCATAGCAGTGCACATTGTGTTGAGTCCCCCTCAGCACTGACTCTTTTTCAAGTCAAGGTGTGTCACTGCATTGTATACATTTTGACCTCCTCTTCACTCCAGAGCTGAGCTTTGCCTTTCTTTCCCATTTCCAATGATTCCTATTTCTTCACCAGCCTTAAATATCTGGCAAATAAATTCATGCTAACCTCCAATAATTAGATTGTATACCTGGGAAATTATAACATGAACACGAGCCTTCAGTGTGATGCTGCAGCTAGTAAAGCAAGCAAAACAGTGGCTTGCATCCATAGATGCTTCTCAAGCAGATCCTGGGACGTCATTCTCCTGCTGTACTCAGCTTTGGTGAGGCCACAGCTGGAGTACTGCATCCAGTTTTGGGCTCCGCAATTCAAAAAGGATGCGGAGAAGCTTCAGAGAATCCAGAGAAGAGCCACACACATGATCAGAGGTCAGGAAAACAGATTTTATGATGAGAGGCTGAGAGCAATGGGGCTATTCAGCCCGGAAAAGTGCAGGCTCAGGGGCGATCTGGTGGCCACCTGTAAGTTTATCGGGGGTGCTCACTAGGATCTGGGGGAACGACTGTTTACCAGAGCCCCCCTAGGGATGACAAGATCAAATGGTCACAAACTCCACTGTGACTGGTTCAGGCTGGACGTAAGAAAGAACTTCTTCACTGTCTGAACCCCCAAGGTTTGGAACAGACTGTCACTTGAGGCGGTTCAAGCACCCACTTTGAACACCTTCAAAACACATTTGGATGCTTATCTTGCTGGGAACCTATGATCCCTGCTGACTTCATGCCCCTGGGGCAGGGGGCTGGACTCAATGATCCCCCGGGGTCCCTTCCAGCCCAAATGTCTATGAAATCTATGACATAATGAATTTATAAATTTTCCATAGTCAGACCCCAGCATGAGTAAGTGAATGCAATTCACATAAATGAAATAGGAAAAAAGAAGAACTTAAAGATAATAATTGTGTTAAATGAATTAACTTGTCAGTATTTAAGCAAGAATCTGCAAATCCATGTGCTTTTAACTTCCGATTCATATATCTTTCTTCTGGCTTTTCTAGCTGGGAGGCATGTTGCATCTTAAGTGCAAATCTGTTCCTTCAGTATGGCTGGCCTGGTTCACTGGGGTACGCTGTTCTCCTAAAATGGCCTTCACACTTGCTATAGCCTCTCAAATGTTGCTGAGCTTAAATGTACATTTTAAAAATGGATTTTGCTGTCAGTTTCCTGCTTCAGTGAATAGTTCAAAGGAGCTACTTGGATTAATGAGAAATGCATATTCTGTGGCTTTAGGCTTCCTAAACAAATTCTGATCTCATTAGAGAGATGAAAACATTAGGTCAGATTCAAATTGTCCCAGAAGACTCATAACCAGGACTTTCAATTTCAAGATAATGTTACATACTATCATTTTACTCACCAGTGACACCCAAAAAACAAGAAAACACTTCTGCACACAACATCATTATGAAATGCTATGAGAGGGACAGTACAGTGTACAGGCGAAACAGTAACTTGGATTATTGTTTTCTTTAGGACAGTTACATAAGTAAATTTGGTGAAAAAAGCAGTAAAAAGAAAGTCTGCAGTTAATGTCTGCTGTTAAATAAAACCTTTTTGTACTAGTACATATGATACATTCTTACTGAAGATCTTGCTTATGGGTACATATAACTGCCTATAATACTTCCAAGGACAATTAGGCCTAGAATCAAGGACAATTAGATATAGAGTGATTTGCTGAGTACATGCTGGCTTAACAAATTAAAGTTGCCTGTTGACTGCTTTAACTTATTTACTCAATTTCATAAGGATCTCTGAAGAGTTTAAAAACAAATTGTACAGTAATTTCTTTGCTTTAGCTAGTTATGTTATGCCTTTAAAACAGTTATGTTTCTCTTTGAAATACAAGCATCACCCTTGGATATGTGATTTGCTTCCATGAAGCTTACTCTAAGTTCCTATAGTTCTACTTGAAATAGTCTGCATGCAAAGGCCAACATTCACCCACCGTTTTAGAATGGAAAACACCATTGGTAAATGTTTGTTCCAGCATAGCAACCATACACATGCAGGCCGATTCACAGACTGCATACAGTAGTCACCACCAAGGTTTCATTTGTCAGCATTTATTTAACTGCTTATCACGGTTTCTCCTCACAGAAGGGTATCTTTGTGATATGTAGAAACAACAGATATATACTGACATTTCATTGCTATTTGCCAGACACGGGCCCAAAGTATTTCTAGAAAATGCTGTAGACAGTCTCTTTGTACCTAAGTTACTAGGAACATATGCCTGTAACTAAGGAATATATTAGAGAACTTCTCAATTAAGATTCTCAGTCTTCCAATTAAGCTAGAAATAAGCTTTCTTAATTTCTGATCCTGCAAATATTTATGCACATGCTTCATTTATCAGTACGATGGCTAATCCCATTGCACATTAGTCATGTTAAATACATGGGTAAGTGCTTTCGGGGTCAGGGCCTTGCTGAAAAAATTAAAATTGAAGTGAGGCTGATCTCAAAGTTTCTGGACACAGGACAAACAGAATATTCACACCTGTTAAGCCTTTGTATAGGTCAGGCATTTTCTAGTGGATAAGTACTTGGTCACCATCTTCAGATGCAAGAATCATGTCACATCTTTGAAAGTTAACATAAATAAGATTACTGAACCTCAAGTCAACATTACTTAAGGAAAGTCTTTTTCACCGAATGCCTATAAGGATACAGGCATGCTTGACACTATTAAGCAGGTAATACTTCATTTATCAGCTGCAAGACTGAGAAAAGACAGGTATAAAAATCCCCCTACAGGTCTATTTTGTATTGATAGAAGTTTTTACATTTTAATCCTTCTGAAGAGGATTTGGAGATTTTTGTCTGTGAGGAAATTGCTTTTGGTTTTATAAATAGAAAACCATTTTATGTTGCTATTTCACTTAAACTGAAAAGAAATTATTTGGTGATATAGATGTTGGACATGATTCTGCTAGTCCTGTCTTATCTAAACATCCACTGACTTCAACAGGAGGAGAGACAGAATAAGGGAAGAAATAAAGCCTATGGTCTAATACACATAAAAATTATACATGACAATATATAAATTATGATACAAACAAGAATTCCAGATGAGTGAGTGAAAGTGCTGTTGCAGCATATATTTTTAAGCTCAATAATACAGGATTTACAAAAAATCTGGAAACTCAGAAATTGAATCTTTCCCAATAGAAGGAAGGGTGGTAAGCCATCAATTTCTACAACTTTCTAGGCTTCCCTTAGCAAAAATATTGACTTTACGTTACTCTAACACCTTCTGAATGCCTAAACAGCATTGTTTTTCTGGGTATGCAGATTGTTTCAGTGTCTTTGTGGTTAATCATAGTTTTCCTAAGCAGAGGCAGAAGAGAACTTGCCAAGCCACAGCCTAGTCTCATTGACATTATTTAGCATTCTTTGGGCTGCTCTGAAACAGACAAAAATTATGTCTGTGTCTGTTTTATTTTGCTTTTGCCTTGGACAACCACTACCAACCTCCAAGGTGCTGGAGTGGTAGACTCCATTCATAGCCCTTCTCCAATTTTTCATATCAGTCTTCCTCTGACCAACACCAGTAGGTGTTTGTTAAGGTTCTGAAGCTCCATAACAACTAATTAATAACTATAACCTAAGCATGCTAGATATACATTTCCTTCTTTTCTTAAGAGGTTTTCGCAAACAAATAGCTGACAAC